GCTTGGCTCTTACAGAGCCGAAGTCTGAGAGGGGAGGAACAGGCAGCTGGAGCCGGGGAGGAGAAGTGCCCGGCTGGCGGCTGGGGTCCGGAGGCAAGGCGGGCTGCCCGAAGCCGGTAGTGCTGGCTCGGGCAGCTTGGCTCTTAACAGAGCCGAAGTCTGAGAGGGGAGGACTCACAGAGCAGCCGCGGGAGGGGAAGTGCCCGGACGGCATTTTTCCCGGACATGTTCTGCTTTTTGGCAATTCCCCCCGGACGCGGGTTTGATTGCCGAAAAGCCGGACATGTCCGGGAAAAACCGGACGTATGGTAACCCTAAGTAATAATAGGACGTAGCAGGGCGTCCTGCAACATGTGTGAGAATTTTGCATTTTGGCAGGTGGAATAGTTGGCTTGGTATGACATAACTGGTGAGGTGAATGTACTCTGATACCAAGGATGTGCTTTAGCTACATCGGTATGACACACAGGGTATGTCTACACAGCATTTTGGAGAAAGTCTGCCAGCTCAGGTTGACACACTCGGGTTAGCGGAGTTCACACTAGTGCTCTAAAAATAGCTGTATAGACAGAGATTTGTAGTTGTTGCTTGGGCTCTGAAGTGTAGAGAGGGCTGTTGGCTTCAGATCTGGAGCCACAACTTCAAAGTGCTGTCTAGAGAGCTATTTGTAGAGTACTAGTGTGAATACCATTCGCCTGATCTTGGCTCGAAGGCTCACTCCAAAATGCTGTGTAGAGGTGTAGTAATGCTAATGAAGCAAGATGTTAGGAGGAGGTGTCATCTGGAGGTGGCAAGCCAGCCCAAATGCCCGGGTCTGACTTCAGGTGTCTAGCCCAAGCTACTGCTTGACAGCAACACGGACACTGCTATTTTTAGCGTGCTCTCTCAAGTGGCGCTAGAGTGTGTCTGTTACCAAGGCTAGGAGGCGTGCTCCCAGTGTAGACATAACCTAAGAAGCTACTACAGTAGAACCTCAGAGTTACAAACTGACCAATTAACCACACATCTCATTTGGAACTGGAAGTTCACAACCAGGTAGCAGCAGAGACTCTCTCCCCCATCCAAAAAAGCAAGTGCAGTACTGTGTTAAACATAAACTACTAAAACAATAAAGGGAAAGCAGCATTTTTCTTCTGCATAGTAAAGTTTCAAAGCTGTATTAAGTCAATGTTCAGTTGTAAACTTTTGATAGCACAGCCATAATGTTTTGTTCAGAGTTACAAACAATCTCCATTCCCGAGGTGTTCATAACTCTGAGGTTCTGCTGTATAAGTGTTAGCTCTGTCTCTCGTCTGAGGCTTTAGTTTAGTCTATCCTTACTTGTTTACTACAGGAAACCAGATCTGAATTCTGTTTTATTTCTTTTACATAAGATGCACCTATTAAATGTCAAGGAAATCCAAGGATTGCGTATATCTCCAGAGTTGCCTCTCTACAAACTTCTTAATAGTCTTCCCCAGAAAAGAAAGAATAGAGGGAGGGCAGTAGCTGAGTGAGATTTAGTGTCTAGAGTTTTTTTTTAATTTTTTTTAAATACTGCGCTATAGTTAGAGCTCTATCTTACTGTTTTGTGACTGCTCTTAACTAATGAAGTCATGACCTGGGCAAGGTTTGTGAATCTGAGCAATAAATGCGGGACAGTATATCCAATTCTGAACCATGTGTACAAACCTGGGATGTTTGGGAGGAATTTGTTTGAAAAACTCTAAAATATATACATATTGTAGCATGTTTGGATAGTGTTGCAATTTTAAAACAACCACTTTAATGTTTTGGCTAATTTGTTTCTGACACTTGTGAATAAAGCCTTGCACAGGTACAAAATTTATATCCATAGATATAAAGCGGATATCTGGGGAGCTGCAGGGCTCTATCAGGAACCGCAGTTGATGCAGACCACTGCATGGAAGGGACTCCTGTCTGGGAGCGTATGAGTTGCTTGCACACACTAGCATGACCAGGGACAGCTGCTGGCGAGCCTGGTGCCCACTCCCGCAGCCCTTCTCACTGGTGGTACAGCCACTTCAGAGAAACTGCCCAGGCTGGGTGCTGGCTCTTGCCAACGGCAGCCCAACACACTGCTGCTTTCGCTGCTGCAGTTCCTGGTAGAGCCCTGCAGCTCCCCGGATATCCACTTTATATCCGTGAATATCTGCATCTGCAGATAAACATTTTGTATCTGCATAGGGCTCTACTTGTGATGTATCCTCATCAACCAATCAGACTGCTCCCTTAGTTCATTCTTTTAAAGGTTTTAATGCTTGAAATAATAATTTTAAAGATAGCATGGTAACTGCTGGCTTTTGTTTGCAATTCTGCAACTCCTGTTTGCTCAGTATGAAACTAATGAAACCTATTGATGCATATTTCCCTTGTTCCCTGCAGGATTGGCAAACTCCTTCCTCTAGTAGTGAATTTTATGCAGTCTTTATAAGAGCATCTATTTTTCCTGCAGTTCATGGCTCCGCTTTTTCCAGTTGGGGCTTTATGTCCAAACAGCTGGCTCATTGATTAGTGAAATCTTATTTCATATGCCAGCACTGTAATTCTTATTTTTGCAATTCCCCCCCTCTCTCTCCTTCCCCCCCCCCCTGCCCCCAACTTGGTTAATAACTTCTCAGATTAGTGATCTGATATAGCTAAACACATTAAGTTAACAGGAGACCAGAGGATGTCTCTTGATGTGATGTTTGTTTTTAAATGGGTGGGGCACATCCCTCCTATTTTTTTTAAGTTATTATTGGCAGTCTTTCTCTAGGAAAATGACTTTGGCGCTATCGTATTATGCATTGTTTCCTTCAGTTCAGTAGAGAGGATTCATGCAATGGGGTTTCCTAACTCCGCCTATGATGGTATCTCTGTTTAAAGCTGAAATTATCTTGTCTTGATTTTGATCACAAATCTTGTTTGAAAAAAACAGAGTTCTCTTGGAAATGTTTACAAGATGCATTCGTCTTTTGTAATCGGTTATGGAGAATGACAACAGAACTACATTCTGAAATGAACAATCTGACATTCCATCTTCTGAAATAAAAGCATGTGGAGTGAATGCAGTGTTATGAAATGGTACTTGTAACATAACTTCCCTTGTATTCGACCCCCTGTGTAGTCTTTGTCCTTTGAGTACTGAAACTATCAAAATATTAGATTTTTTTTTTTAAATACAAATCAAAGATTCAGAATTTTTGTTTCTGTTATAGAATGCAGTTAACAAGGAAAAGAGAAATTCTAAACTTAAAATCAATGTGTATTTTCAACATCTAGATGTGAGTATCTTGTGGACGTGCAGAATAGCATTCAATTTTGTGCTTAGTGACACTGTACAAGGATATTTTTTTGTAAATTTACTTAATTTTTTCATCCAGTTACATTGAACTTGTTTCCAAGAATTAACATGTAAAGAGCATATGTGACGTGCTTATTTTCAGCATCTCTTTTTTCTTCATATGAGTGGAATTATGGTTCTGTGGGCACTGAAACATTTTAGGTTTGGAATTAGACTAGAGATTTCATTGCCTGAATATAGGGAAGTGTTTTCCTGGATCTGTGAGTAACTATCCACATTGAGACTCTTAACATTGTAGTTAATCTAATGTTTTAGAGCGCAGCCATGGAAGTCTTGGAATAATTGGCAGTTGTGGAGGAAGGGCATCTTGGAAGAACTGCATCTGCTGGAAGTCTGGGCCACATACCCAACTGTCCAAAATGTACCTGCAACCACTTCCTGATGGCTACTGCTCCATCCAATCACTTAAACCTTTTGAAAAATGTAGGTAATAAGCATGCACGATTCTCAAAGAGAAAGCATAGGAGAATTTGAGATTAGTGGAAGCAATCAGGCAGAACATGTGGGTTCTAGATTTAAAAGTGTATACAGCATTTGAGTATCTTGAGAGCAATTCTTCATTCCCAGCATTGGTTACGACACCGGGATGGTTCAGTAACCAGTGAGCCTACTCCTGCAAATGATTAAAAAAACAACCCTTCTGCCCCCTATTGTCTTCCTCCTAGCTGAAGGAGGAGTGCTAGACTATAGAAAAGAGCACAGAAGAGTCTTCTCAAAACTTTAGATAAGGCTGGTAGCTGGATTCTGCAATACTAGAACTAAATATGTAACCATTTCTCCATCAAAATCTTTACAGGTATTGTATGAAATAGAAGGATGGCATTCTATTTCATTTCTCTACCACAGGTGCATTGCTATTGAATCATTACTGTAATAGATGATGAAATGGATGCAACATGTATCATTCTATAGTTATACCTGAGTATTTATATCTTCAGTGTAATGGATAACTAATAGACTTAGTTGGTCCAGTTTTTAAACCATGACAGTTTAGCCTGTTGATGGTAAAAACTGAATTAAACAGAAGTGTTTGCATAAATTATACTGTTTTTGTCCACTGTTGAGATAAA